AAAGACAATGAAATCTTGCCATTTGCAATGACATAGATGGACCTCGAAGGCACTATGCTAAGTGAAATAAGTCAGAAAGAGAAAGACAAACACTGTATAATCTCTCTTATATGTGGAATGTAAAAGTAAATAACACAAAACACCAACCTCATAGATACAGAGAAGAGACTGATGGTTGCCAGAGGTGAGGTGGGGGGTAGAGAAATGGGTGAAGGGCGTCAAAAGGTAATACAGTTTTAACATTTAAAATAAAAAATTAATTAAAAAAATAATCACGTATGACATCCAGCCAAAAAGTAGTACTTATATATATTTTGTTCCCTATCTTGTTATTTATTCCCTTTATTCCAGATCATTCTCTTTACTGATAGCAATGTATTTTTTCTAAAATATCCCTTCACGTTTAAAAGCACTTCTTAAGAAATTATAACACCAGATTACAATAAAACAAAACAAAGGCAAACGCTAAGTGGCTTAAATAAACTTTTAAAAACTAAGAACAATGCAGTTTGAAAGTGAAATGATGAAAAACATTACACCACCCAAATATTAACTGAAAAAAAGGGAGTAAAAATTCTGCTATCACTATATTAATACCAGAAAAAATGGGCTTTAAAGAATGAACCATTATTAAGGTTAAGAGGAAAGGTTTCACACTGAGATGTTTTCACGCCATGAAAGATGTCACGCCTTAATTCTGACTGTAGGAGGGGGAACAGACAATTCCAGCATCATAGTGGAGTTTCATGAACGTACATCTCTCAACGGCTGACAAACAAAAATAATGTGTGGATATGGAAACTCGGGATGGCGTATGAACGAGCTCGCGCTAATTTACAATCGCAGAAAGATAACCAGGCAGCAGCAGAATTTTATCTTCTTTGAAAGTACATAGAGACACTTATCTAAATAAAGGACATGCTGTTATTTAAAGAAATCCTTACAAGTTTCAAAAGATATGCCTGTAACCATAATAAAATCAACTGCATGTCATTTTGAAAAGTACACGACAGAAACTCCGACTTGCTGGCAACTGAAACATACACTTCATGTTTTGATGGAACAAAGAAGCGGCTTTTTGTGCGTTTCTTTGAATTCCTCTTTCAAATAAAACACTAGTGTTCAATGTATCGTATACATTTAGATTTGTTTTTATGAAAATATATGTTCTTCCTCCAAAATATTTTGCTATCACAATATCACAACAATGTCGATATCTTCGTTAATTATATTTTCTTTTTCAGTAACATTAAAACTTGCCCAAATCAGTTAAACATCTGTCATTTTTAGTATTATGGGAAATACTGCCATCTTTTGAATTTTTAGGACCTGATCCTCCCAATATTACATTGCACTATATGAACTCCAGTCATAAGTGGGCTTAAGTTGTTGGATGGCTTATAATTCTGCAATTATTTCAAGTTGTTGGGAAGTTCTGTTGGATAATCAAGTTTCTACTGTTTCATTGTGATTATCTGACATGTGTTATTCTTTCCTCAACTTGCTTACTTACCCTTACAGGGCAATTCTAAGGCATATATCCTTCCATTTATGGTACAGAAAGTTTGCTTTATAAACTTTTATGTAAGGTATGGAATTTACATGCATATTTAGTTTATACAGATTAATAGGTGTCAGTGATTTTTTTTTTTTTGCCCAAGAGTAAATTAAATAACAACTATAATATACTTATAACATAGTTAAAACCAGAGAAAGAAACAGCAAGAATCTTAAGAAGTAGAATAGCTTCCTTTCAGTGAAAGGACTAATACCGAGTAATTTTACATCTTGAGATGTTTTTCTCTGAAGGAAAACTGGGCATCGATTTGTCCTGTTTTTAAGGACTAAAGCCATAGATGGTCTGATTTCTTCTCCTTCACTGTGAGCCCTACAAGCAGCTCCTTTTTCTAACACTTTCCGGCCTACATGTAGGGATTTCCTGGAATTGAGCTGTGGCTGATCCCTTAGATGGCATGACTTTCCTGCCCCACACCCTTCCTGACACTGACAGGTGACTTGCTACAACCCGGGCCTTTGTTTGCCTCGCATCCTAGGCCACTGAGTTTGCAACTCTGTGGAGGAGACTCCGTAGAGCAAACTATTCGTCCAGTTCACTGGAGCTGTCAAACACTTACTCAACGCCTATCTACTTTAAATGAAAATACAGTGCTAGCTTTAAATTACGATACAAGATATAACGAGCTGACTCACTTTCTCAGGTCACCGTAGGTCGGCAGATGAAAGACAAAGAATAAAAACACTATGGGGTCGTATGTTTGCAGCATCTTGCGCTGGCTCTTTACCCTAGAATCAGTCACAGGGATGGTGAACGAGAGATGGCTCTCAGGCAGGTAAAGAGGGAAGCAAGTTAGGGCAACTATAAAAAATCACTCCTTCAGAGAGACAATTAGACCACTGGGCCCATTTGATAACTGGATATGATCTTTCTATAAGTTGAATTATATATGAATTTGTGCTTTTTGTGGGGCTTCAGGAACACCAGTCCTCATACTACATCATTTCTTTCTCCCAGAAGTTTATGAAGTTTCCCATTATATGAGTAGCCATTTGACCAGTTATAATGCAGTGGGTAAATAAAAATGCTTTACTGCAAGCTACTCTTGTCATGGTGACACTAAATCATTCTGAAAGCAAAAGTATGTTATTGCAATATGAGTGCAAAATAAAATATCTTTTAACAAGTCAGAGCGTGTACTGACTCTGTCTCAAAGCTAAGTGCATCTTGCAGTGTGGCGGGCATGGCGTCTGTCAGCCGTTCTGCACAGGCTGTTACTGGCTACAGACAGGTAGATGCCATTAGGTGTAACGGGTTCACTCAGAGGGTGCACATTCATTGTTTCCTTGTCAGGTAAAATGACTGTTTTCACCACGAATGGATGCTTCCACAATAACACTGTTATTAATCAGTCACAAAGTCAGAAATGAATGTTCCTATATTCATCATTATTACAATTTTCTCTTGAATTCTAAAATCAGTTTTAAGGGACTTGTAAATTTTAACTTTGTTTTATAGAGAGAAGGAGGGAGAGAGAGGGAGATGTTATATGTATTATGGCCAAGCATTTATTGAGCCCCTGTCATGGAGAACTGGATTTTTTCACTAGATTAAGATGTATGATATTAATATACATCTTAAAAATAGTGATGGTAGAATCTACCTGAAAATAAGGTAGACAAAATAATATTGTAAATTATATTAAATTTTGCATTCAGTTGAGTTTAGCATTATTACTAATTATCTTTTTTAAAAAATACTTGAACTTCAGTTTTCTAATCCTATGAAATAATAAATAGCACTTGTGTGAAAATGATATATGTGTACATGCATACTGTGTGGATAAATGACAAACTAAATACAACAGTACACTGTACTCTGTAAAATGATTAAAATTTAATTATATGTTATGGTTTAATGTACTAGGAACCTACCTATGACTTATCATTTTCTTTCAGATATACTTTCCTCACAGGGCAAAGGCCAGTGAATCAGGTCACATAATCTTATCTCTAGAACCAATATTTTAAAGTGGTTTGCATAACTATGAACTTGACTTGCATGTGTTTTAACAATGGTAGTTTGACAGAGTTTTTAACTTAGTCTCATTCACTCGCTCATTAGTAATCATTTTTTAAGGGCTGGGCACTGACCTAAATGCTTAAGTTTACAAAGACAATTCAAGCATCATTCTTACTTAGAGGGATGCATAGTAGGCAAGGAAAAATGCATTTATGGAAATAAATATAACATGAAAGGACATGGGAAAGTGCTATGTAAGAGGAAATTAAGATTAATTAACTCTGTGGGTGTGGAGAATTCTGGGTTGAATTAAGGGTATGCAAAGTGTTACTATGTTTTAGCAACAGGCAGTATGCCATCCTGGCTGGGTCTAGGGTACACAGAGACCAACATTAAGAGATAAAGCTGGGGAAGGCATTTAACGCTGACATTCGAGGAACCATTACTGACATACCACATTGTCTGCTTTATTACAGTTTTGAATCATGTCTAAGAAGAACATAAGGGACAGATCCCCTACAGTACTTTTATAATTAAAGATTATTCTATAAAATGTTATCCACAGTTCTGCCACATTAAAAATACTCAAATATAATTATTTCTTTCCAATTCTGAAGATGTCATAAATATCACTTCCTTCCAAGCTCACAGAACTGATACTTCTCCCCCGAATTGCCTGCTAGTTTATGCTCTCCATTCTCAAGACCCATATTCTACTCCAAAATCCTACCTTATTATATTAGTTACATCCTGCTGTTGGATGGCGGGGGTGTGTGTGTGTGTGTGTGTGTGTGTGTGTGTGTGTGAAGAGCATTCACTCCTAAAATGAATAATTTTCTTTTTTAAATTTCAGTCAAAAAGATATATATACAACCATTTAGCCTGAGAATGCCCACATCAGAGTGTATTTTGAATATCTCTATGAATACCTTGTTAATGCAGGATATAATTACCCAGTATGACTACATCATTTTAAATATTTACTGTGATGCCAACTGAAACACAGACCTTTAACACAGCGACAATTATCTACCAGGTTCAGGAGACAATAGGTAGAATTAATATTTTTTTTAATCTTCACCTGAGGATATTTTTTCCATTGTTTTTAGAGAAAGTAGAAGGGAGAGAGAGAAACATCGATGTGAAAGAGAAACTTCAGTTGGTTGCTTTCTGCAAGCACCCAGGCCGGGGCTGGAAATCTAGCTTGCAACCCAGGCACGTACACTCGGTCAGAATTGAACCCGGGACCCTTCAGTCCTTGGGCCGATGCTCTAACCACTGAGCAACCAGCTCGGGCTAGAATGATTTCTTTAGTCTTGTTTATAGAAAGGAGATCATATGGCACAAAAACAAAATATTCCCATTTAAGATAACAGTAACATGACAATATATATTCCAGTATTTCATTTCACTTTACATAAATGAAGAGCAATACATTTAAATCAGAAGAAACAGCACTTACTCTGAGGAAACCGTGGGGGGTTGTCATTGACGTCGGTCAGGGTGATGTTGACCGTTGTTGATCCCGAAAGCCCTCCGACTTGCCCAGCCATGTCTTTGGCTTGAATGACCACTGAGTAGTGCTCTCTGGCTTCTCTGTCCATGTTATGTAAGGCAGTTCTAATAACTCCTGTAACACATGTTGAAAAACCCAGTATGGATTATACAATAAATGAGAACGGACATAGAAATGTCTCTCCTTTTTTTCTGTTTTAAGAAATGTAAATGAAATACTTTTGAAAGAGAAGGCAGGCTTCTGAGGCAAACGGGACCTTAAAAATGTTACTAAGTTGTCTATTAAAACTTTATTACAAGCACATGTCCCAAACCTTTCTGTTCATGGCAAATTAAGATACCCATCTCTGCACCCCCTGGGGAGGGCAGCTCCTAGAGGGCAGACTGCAGCCTGAGCTTGTGTGTTCTGCTGGTGTCGTCAACATTTCTCAACTTGTGCTTCTCAGTTGAGATGATCTGAGGTTACTTTTATTTGTTACAGAACAATTTACATAGTTTCTTGGCAGTGTTGTCAACGTTTGATGATGAAAAACATTGGGGAAGTGTGGACACTTGAACAAAGATTGTTAAGTGGGAGGCATTTAACATATACCAAGACTAAGAAACTCACTATTTTTGCCAAGAAATAAAAACTACTATCAGAACTAGATCTAAGTACATAAGCAAAATAAAGTGATGAAGTTGATTCTAAAAATCACACATAACATCACATTTTTTATTTTATAGGAACAAAGGAGACATTTAATGGACTTTTTCATGAATTCGTACTTGAATTCAATAGAGAGAATAAAAAGATTATATACCCATTTGTAATTATGTATAGGTAAACACACACATATGCATACATTAGATAGCTTAGTTAAGAGAGGCCTAAATTTAAAAATTAAACACACTTTCCAGAGAGTCAAGTTTACCCAAGTACTATTAACAAAGTCATTATTAAAACAAAACAAAACTGCCTTCATGTAGGTGATCCATCTTATAAATAAATATCTAAATATATACATATATATGCATTATGTGGATATAAATATATAATATAAATATAGTTTTTACTCCAAACATCAGCGAACATTTAACAACCACCTTTTTACTTTTATTAAAAATATCTGGATCACGCCACTTTTGAGGATGACGCCAATGTCTTCAATCAAACATACACTTGATTAGTTAGCAATGCAATTCACAGCACGATGCCCATTATAACAACTGCAAACTATAGAGTTTAACACCTTTGCAGACAATATCTTGATATAATGAGAGAAAATGGATTATACATTCAAGTAAAAAATATAGTCTTTTAAAAGTGGAATGGAATAGTCAATCAGTTGTTTTGACTAAGGAAAACTAAACAACTGAATTTTTTCACTGAATTGATTGGATGTGTAATGACTTTGAGAGGAGAGCCTCAGGCACCAGGAAAAGAGTTTCCACGGCTTTCAAAATTTGTGAATATCTAATTGAGGAGTTCAGGAAAACTTTCCTGAAGCTAAATAGAAATGAAAATTATTCTTATCAAAAATTTTATCATACTATGATAATAAATAATTCATCTAATTCATGCATATAACAAAGCCTCAAGCATCCTTATTAAAAAGAACAATGTATTATCACATATAATAATTATATAAGAAGGAATTGAATTGATGCAAAAGTGAATGAGGTAAGAATTAATTAATATATTTTATGAAAGAAATATATACTTTCTACTATTTGAAACAAAATAAAAATGCCATTCTAAAAAGAATATGTTATAAGTGGGACTTGCCTCTAGTGGTAAGACGTATAAGATTATTGTCCAGAATAATGCTTCACAATGAAATAATTAAAGTAATATTCTGTAGACTATAAATATATAAGTAAAGCCTGGCCGGGCGTGGCTCAGCGGTTGAGCGTCGACCTAGGATCCAGGAGATCGATGTTCGATTCCTGGTCAGGGCACATGCCCGGGTTGTGGGCTCGATTCTCAGTCGGGGGGTGCAGGAGGCAGCCGATCAATGACTCTCTCATCATTGATGTTTCTCTCTCTCTCTCTCTCTCTCTCTCTCTCCCTCTCCTTTCCTCTCTCTGAAATCAATAAAGATATATTTAAAAAATATATATATAAGTAAAAAATCAATTATTACAAAGTGAATGACAGATACCTTTTTTATACAAATTAAATTTTATCAATTTAAGAGGATCAGAGAAGAGAAATCAGCACAACCTTCTTTTATATTTACGAACTTCATTTATTTCATTGCATTGCCGAAGACTAGTAGAGCTCCAAACCCGCATGCTAGAATCTTGAGTTCATATAGTGACCTGGGTTCAGTTACATACACCATCTCAACCATATATCGCTCTCTCAAAACTGTGTCCTTGAAAACAGCTTCTACTATGAGAACTATGGATATAAGTAATATTCCAAGGGCAGGGGATTGGGGAGGGGCCTCTGATTACTACGGTCCAGCTCAAGGATAAATTGGTCTGTTGACCTCCCCCAACACCTACAACAACCACAAATAATTCCAGTGCCAGAGGGTCAAGACCATACTTTGAAAAGCCATAATTAGAGAGACAAAGTTCTACCAGTATATATTTATACCTCTGTTCACTTTCAGTCTTCATCATGTCATGCCAATAAATGCATACAGGTATGGAGACACACACACACACAAACAAAAAATAATATTCGATGGTAATATATATTTCAAAACTGAAGCTTGAAGTCATATACAAGGCTAAACTATATTTACACAGTACAAGTAAGAAATGAAGTTTTATTTGTCCGTTTGCGTGTTCCTGCCATATACCCATGTACCCGGCATTGCAATCAAACTCACTTTTGTCTCCCAAATAAATTTAATAAGGACACATTACATGGCCTTTTCATTAAGTAACTTCATGAAGAAAAAAATACGAAGCAGCTACATTACTTACCATAAATCACTGCATTGCTCATTTGTTTGGAAACAAAGACAACTCTTCTATTTACGAGACATGCTAGGTAGCTGGTAATGGCATATTCTGAACGGCTGCAGGACAGGCTTCTCTAGCAATGTTACTTGCAGATTGTTAACGGGAGTTGTTGCCTTTATTCTCCTGTGATGCTGGGTTGAATCAACAGGATGTGATTACCGTTGTATTATTTTGTTTTGCTTATTACTTTCCTGGTAAACGATTGTAGGTGCCCCACTGCCTGCAAATTACCTATTGACTACTGCTTCCCAATCACCTTGATATGCAGGGGCTTGTAACTGGGAATTACTCTCTGCTGAACACAAGTTTATAACGTTGAAAACTCATCTGTGGATACAAATGTTGCTCGATGAATCCAACTCACAGGTCTACCATATGTTTATGTTCCCTGAATAATGAGATTCACATACAGCAGTAGATTCTCCAAAATGTTTTCTTGCATTTTTACCCACTAAAAAGAATTGAAGACGAAATGTACTAATTCGGTTCATTAGATATCGCCACAGAAGACTGCAAAAGGAAATCCCTAAAAGGCTAGAACAAATAAACAAGCATGAACATTCAAATTCCTACAGAAGCCTCCAAGGTACACATTTATAAAAGAAATTGGTAAGTTTTCTTCAAAGCTTAAATTATACATATGCACTTTGGCTCAAGTGCTAATTTTACTTCTTTATTTGCTTAATTGTTCATTCATTCAATGTCTAATATATCATCATGTAATGTCTATTAAAATGTGCTGGGCTTCTAGTGTTTCTCTAATGGAGCACGAGGGCCACTTAATAACAAAGTCACGTGGAATGTCAATTATCATGCAACTTCAAGGAAGAAAGGAGATAGATTTAGACAAGAACATCATCATAAAAGTAGGAATTATCTTCTTCATAGATGTGGGAATAAATCAGATACAAGGAGAATGCAATTGTGTTGATGCATCATTAAAGACTGCTCTGATTTAGGTTTTATTTCTTTTTTTGCACTTTGTTTATTTTTATATCTTTTGTTAGTGTTTTAATGGGATCTATAATTTCAAAAGATCAGTCTTTCTGGTTAATAACCTTGCCAATTAAAACACAGGGCTTACAGGGCATTTGTGAAGGCCAAATATTCTATAGGATTTCAGACTTTTAGCATAACCACTCTATTCAGCAAGTATGTACTGAGACAGCCCTATATGGAGAAATATAAACTACAAATTTCAAAACAGACTTATCTGGGAGTAAATTCCAACAGTGGTGATGATGAAAATAATGGAAGTACAGACAGCTATTAAGTTTTTATTAAGCATTATGAAGAATGTTGTATGTTGATTATCACACTAAATCCTGACATCAACTGCCTATGAAAATTATTCATATTACCCTCCTCTTTTTTTTTTTTTTAATCAAAGAGGGACTGCAAGAACAGAAAGGTTAAGGAAACTTGCCCAAGACAGATAGTTGCCACAGAGCCAACACTGAATCCATGCAATTGGAAATCAGTCTGTCGTCACAGCCACTGCCCTCCGAGTTTCTGATTCCTTGTGAGGAAACTGGGGGAAATACTGTAACTGAGCCTGAATAGATTTTGGAAGGATGTCTACATCTTGGCAATGTGGTTTCAGAAGCTGTCTCTGGCTCTCTTGGCCAGCCTGGGTTTTAATAGCACTGGAATCAAAGTTCTGGTTATAATGAAGAAGTCAGAAAGATGGTGGATAGCCTCGGGTAACAAAGATTTGACTCTAAAAACTGAGGATTTAGTCTTTTGTACAACAGGAGAAAGAGAAACTAAGAAACTAAATATTCATCTTGCCCCAAGTGCCCATTAGCTGTTTACAGTCAGCTTTCTGCAGGAAATTGAGTAACTAATCTGGGCTGGCCTATGCCAGCTTCAGCCAATACAGTGCAGTAGAAGTGACATTATGGCTGTTTCTACCCTGGAGTTAAGAGAACCGGAAGCTTCTACCTTGACCTCCACAAGCCCTGAGCTTTCATGTAAGTAGCCAAGCTACTCTGCTCTCTCTAGACAACATAGTGAGGCCCTGCGATGAAAAGGGCAAGGGATCTATCTGAGCCCAACCCCCCAGCTCTTTCCACTGAGGCACCAGGTATATGAGTGGACTCATCTTTGAACCTCCACACAAATCCAAGTATCATCTGAATGCTAGCAAGTGAC